AAAAATCTAGTACTTCGCGTTTCGAAATCCGTCAGAAAATGACAGGTTTTTTTGGCAGTTGTAGAAAAATGTAGTTTTTATGACCCTTAGTTATTTCCAAAATTTTGAATTTTTTTCTTCACTCGTTTGAAACTCCGTCCCGGGACTTTTGGATAATCCTATATATAAGTACGTAGTTATGTATATACTGTGGTTCGTAAGTTTTAATTATCGGAGTGGCAATAGTGAATAACAGGCTCGCTTGAATGTATTAGTAGCATGTGGTTTTAGTTTAGCAGTAAACACTTAATACACGCAAAATACGATGCATCAACAAGTGTTTAGCCGCGTTGCTGAGCGGCAGGACGGGACGCAGTGCAACGCTGCTGAGCAGCCCAGTGTAAAGGGGCACTTAGAGTATTTACTTTGAATCTTCCAAGTATAAGCATACACTCCCTTTTATTCATATGGGCCAATTGTTTTGACCGCTCCTTCCAGCGCTCTAAGCTCGAGTTTTGTCGGTTTATAGGATGATATGCCACTCACAAAAGATATTCGCAATTTATCGTAAAATTGTAAATTACAAAATATACAGGTTCCTACATCCAAAACATAAATTCCGACGTGCTACTTTCAACTTTAATCAATAAAAATACTAATCGACGTGCCCCAGGATTTCTCAGGTTCTCATACAGAGCCAAAATGGAATCATGCGAAACTGTTATAGAGAAGGAAAGGAATTGCTGTAAATTAAATTAGTTTCAGGGGTTCCGTTAATTTTCCTTGGTATGATCTAATAATGCCTGTGGGTAAGGGTAACCACGCTATAATATCATTTAGCTCCCTTTATTCGTGATAGGTCTTTTACTCCTGGTTGGTTATAATTCTTGTTCAACGTTCTGGATATACTTTTTCATACGATGACTTAAAAGTGCCCTCTTTTTCAATCTCATAAGAGCTTTCACAGTTCTACACAACGATATTATTAAATAATTTCACCAATAAATTGAATCCTTTTTAGTCTTGAAGGGTACAGTAATCGTAATTTACTGTTTGTAGGCAATAGAATAGGAATGTTACATCTTGGAGAGATCGATTTATCTAAATACATCCTAACTTACGCGTTGAGAAAATGAATAATGAAAATAGATTTTTCGCCCTTACGGTTATTTAAACAGAAACAGCCATGTAGTCACAAAAACCAAACGATATTGCTATCAATCTCCCTCAATTGCTTGTCATGCAGACACTTCTAAACGAGCATGTCAAATGAGCGAATTTATTAGTGATCCACAGACGTTTGTATCGATCATGGAAACGCGCCGATTCTTTACACGGATACGCACATCTCGTCCCACATCAAAGGTAGAATCAAATATAAAAGGTTACCGAAATGTTCGCTTGATTTAAAGGGGTTAGATTTACAAAGGGACTAAAAAATCGTATTCGGCGATGAACTCATTTGCTTAGTTTGCATTGTAAACAAGAAAAGCAGGACATTAATGTTATGTGTTTTGTAATTAAGTGCATGATTGTTCACTTGGGACGTGCTGAACCGGTTTCAAACTTTTATGTATCTAAACTAACCCTTGTTTCAGATAAACGCCAGCATTTTTTCCCCATTTTACTACGTCAATAACTTTCCGCCCTATCAAGCATTTAATTCGAGTTCGGTTAATGATCTTACGAGTGCATTCAGTCATTGAACAAAAACTCAATTTTTTATTCAATGATTTAGCGAATTCAATTTTGATATTTGTTTATTATATTGATAGGCAGCACAAAATACACATTAAGTTTAATGTAATAGGTACCTTCAAAGAGTATACATACGTTATATACTCTTTGGTACCTTTCATTCCGGAAAATAATATTTACAGAAGCGTAAAAGGTACCAGTACGTTAGTAGTATTCTTAACAATTACATACCTATAACACGGATGAGGTGACAAAATTAGGGTTAAAAGAGCCTCAATAGATTATGCCGTCCGTATATATTGCTTATTCTGGATGAAATAATCAAATCATGGGCTCAAACAAACTATAAGAATAGAAAACGTACATATTACTTTTAGGAGAATAGTTTTCAACAATATACCACATCTAGGTCCTCTTTTAGTCCACATCAAAGTTATCAAACCTATTAATAAGAAAAATATATTAGAAACCAAGTCAGCGGAATCTTTTTTGATGAAAACAATATGTAATACTTCTTGGTCCAATAGTAGGTAATATCCGCAAGTCGGCGCATGGATAACCACAGTAGCATGTTCGTTATTAACTATAATTACAATAACTCTCAATTCACATTGAAATTGTTTTTCGTCATTTAAACTAATCTCTTTCATCTGAATAAGCATTTTGAGATTGCGTGCGCTTTTCGCTGTGTAGTAATTCTTTCAGTCGAGTTCAGTAATTTACATCTTGATGGAAACAAATAACAAGCCATTGAACGCGAATCTGAAAAGATCTGTTTTTACACGAATAGCGCTGCACGATATGCCTTCAAACACTAAACTAAACCATTTTGGCGTCTGGGTTCCGTCGGCTGCGTCGATAGTTCATCGGTGATTGTGAAAACAAACTCTGTAAACGCAAGTGGTCTGTCTTCTTCAATAAGCTTCTGTGACCAGTCTGACGCTTCTTTCAATCTCCGGGCGGGTTCTTAAAGTGAGCACCTACTCAGAACGAATGAGTATATTAGAGTTCACTGTTCAGTCGATTGAGATTGTGATTTTATTCTCCTACCCAGGACCAATAAGTTCCTTGATGAATTCATGCAATGTCCCTGAGTGTGAATTATGCTGGGTATCAATAGACTTGGGTGTGAGACATCCGGCTCTGGCGCAATTCCCGCAAATACAAACCCTAAAATTGTAAACAGCAGTAATATAAGAAACACATTGGCGGAATGAACTTTATTCTTTGAGTTTTGGTCGTAATTTCAATTTGGCGTATTTTGGAAACATGAAACTAGCAGAGAGAACCACAAAAAAATTATGTCTCAAAATTCATGAAAGGGAAGGTACTTTCAGCTGGCTTGTTCGCATAACCCGAGAAATGAATAGATTGGAGAATGGGTTTTATCGTTATCTCGGCCGAATTGAGGTTAATGAACCACAAAACTTGCCTGTAATTAATGGTAATGATTCACCTCGTGACTGTAAAGGCGGAAATTGGTACGTATACACAACTGTTTTCATAAATTGAGGTAACATCAAATGAATATCAATTTTGTGGACAACGCTCTAGCATTTACTCCTGGAGTTTCTACATGAAACAAATCTCCCAGAAGCTGAGAACTTGTGTAGGTATAAAGGCTGCTCAAGTTGATGAATTTAGAGATTATTTAAGTTCTCCAGTTGTGCTAAAGTATTTTTCATCTTTTTTGTAAACTAGATTTGAGAAGAGAAAACTTTACTCTGTGATGGATTTACATTCATATGGTCCCCTCATGTTCACAAGAGGAATACGAGGAGAAGATTGGGAAAGCTACCTTGGAGCAAGCAAACAAATTTTGAAATGTGCATTAGTTTTACTTTTATTCGAAGTGTTTACATGTGAAACTTTTTTTAATGCTTTCTAAAATAGCATCGCGCATTGTCTACCTTAGAAATTTCATAGAATACCTTCATAAATAAAACATACAGCATGCGTAAACAATAATTTTGAAACCGGTATTAGTTTTAGTTCCATTCAAAGTGCCTACATATGATATTTCATTTAACTGCTTTCATAAATAATAAAGTTGCCATTGCGCATGCACAAAACCAAATTTCTTTAACTTCCTTATTCCAAATGCCTATGTATAACATTTCATTTAAATGCTTTCATACATAAGAAATTTGGCATTGCGCAATGCGCATGCGCAAAACAACATTTTGAGAACGTCTATTCATAGTGTTTATAGTTCGTTTCACTCGTTAAGTAGCGGGAATTCCCACTGCGACATTTAAAACAATAGGACAATAGCCCCCATTTACCTAACTAAAAGTCAGCGGTTCTCAATAAAATTTTAATGTCTCAAACGCCAAATTGTAATTGGGGAAACTACTTGGAATGTGTCTACCTATTTATTTAATACATTAATATGGTATCAACACGATTATTGTCGTTAATGTCCTATTGACGCATTCCTTAAGGAACTACATTTTAAATATATCGATTATTAAGGAAATGGGCCGATTTATACGAGCACTACAACTCTGAACTGAGTTATAAACCCCTCTTCATTGTAGTTAAGGATAGTAATATCGCTATAGTATTGTATAGCATTTCTTTCCGTTCTTGCCAAAGTCCTAACTACTGCTTCTATTATTTCATCGTCCGAATCTGAAGATGAAGTAACAAAATCGTCGTCGCTTATTTCCAAAAATAAAGCCATCAAATTTTCATTAAACATAATTATGTAGGTAGTTTAAGGTAGGTATCTAAATTTGTATAGTTATGTACCGTACCGCGAGATCAATCGTTTTATATTAACCCTAAGCACGAAATTTATTATGACGCAAGTCACTCCAATCACGTGATTAATGAGACATGGACAAACCTTAAGGCTGTATAAAACGAATAAAGCTATTGATACCTTCGATTTGGGGCACTCTGTATAAAACTGTTAATGGAAAAACGCGTCAATCAAAATAGGTACTAAATCGCAGTGTTCGAGGATTTTTCCAGAACATAGAAACCGAAACTGTGAAGGAATTTGTTCTGTGCATTGTGAAAGCACTGTATCTAGCGATTGGAAATACGAACCATATTTATTAATTTAGATGACGAACTTTCATCGGACACTATTTTCTTTGATCTTTTTTCTGATTTACTTCAACAACCAAGAAAATCTAACTGGCTACACTAAGAAGATTTTTAAGTATTTTTATGGGACGTGCAGGTGTAAAAAAAAATTGCTTAACAAAGGGATATTTGGAAGTCGAATCTGACCGTAATTTTATGTGCTTACTTTTGTTATAGATAGTCAAACCGCTTTTCATGGGTAACCGTGTGCAATAAATTAGAAGTACGTCTGATATCGCATTTTGTGCGTGTAAGAATGATTGTAGATACTTTTTGTTATCGCACGAAGGTAAATCACTTGCGCAGTTACGCTTAATCCTTTTAAAATTATGTTGAAATCTTTCGGGCTGCAAAGGAAAATCCTTTTTGCATTAATCCGCAGCAAATTACTCTTTTTCCCTAAAAGCCGTCATACCGCGGTGGTTGACAAACCGTGTATTTGCTAACCCTTACGTTCTTATCTACAACGTGCTTTCTTTTCAGATAATTCATCGCGATCTCGCCGCTAGGAACATCTTAATTACGGAAGATCACGTTTGTAAGGTTGCCGATTTTGGTTTTGCGAGAGATGTTATTGATTCTCATGTTTACGAACGTAAAAGTGAAGGAAGGCTTCCAATTCGTTGGATGGCACCTGAGTCTCTTTACGATAACATCTTTACTGTTAAATCGGACGTCTGGAGCTTCGGAGTACTTATCTGGGAAGTCGTCACGTTAGGAAGCACCCCGTATACAGGACTTTCTGCGGCTGAAGTTATGAAAAGGGTAAGTTTGGATATTTAACTTAATTAAAAGATAACCGCTTTATAAACGAGTAATGCATTATTTAACCATAGCTTAAAAGTTTTCATAATAATTTTTATGTCTTACTAACCTATCATAGCACATTTTATATCTGTGATACGCGGGCATAAAGTGCATTAAGTATCACCATAGTAACTCATTTATACTTAATGACAAAACAAACAAATATTTGCAGGTCATTGAAAATTAGAAACGTCAATTATTAATTGTCAATATCTACTAAATCACAAGATTGGCCTTATTTCGTATAGTTTCTGGAACTTCTTCCTCATTCACGATGAATTGAATTATTTAAAATTACGTTTGACGTTTGGATGGTTTCAACTACATTAACAAATTCGAACCACGCATACTCGATCAAACATAATGAATTATTTTGTAAACGAATTTTGACGAAGAAAACTATTTGTAAGACATAAAATTGTGTATGTACCACGGGCATAAGCTGATGTTTATACTCTCGGGCGACTAAAAAGCTCTCGGGCTATAGGCCCTCGAGCATTTTAACTCGTCGCCCTCGAGAATATAAACATCACTATTATGCCCTTAATACATAAATAACTATTTTTCACCCTTTCGGTCTTTGTGTGCAATATAATATTAAATCCATTTGTGTAACTAACTAGAACTAACTAATTAGTAAGTAAAGGGCTTTCATTTCAAAACCAATCGCCTGTTGAATTTTGTCATTTTGATAAAAAATCAAAATTTGCAAAAATGCGTTCGTTTGGATAGCTAGGGGCAAGTTTAATGGGAGGTTTACCTTAGTTTTAGCATTTACCCCCACAGCGCCAACTACCTCTGCTTTAAAATTGTAATATGCATTCCCTATCGAGAGTGACTCATCATTTAGAAAGCCATAAAAGTCTCAGAAATAACCTCAAAATCTAATTCGTATGCTGTGGCTATGAATTAATTTTAAAAAACGAAAACAAATACAAAATAAATAAATTTGGCGATTTCGCGTTTTGATTGTATAAAATTAATTTTATTAAATGCTTAAAATGGTCTCTATTAGTGCACAGACCGAGGTACAGCCAATAGGACAGAGAGTCTATTACTTTCTTCCAATATATTCTGATATTAATCCCCCTGTTAAATTCCCTTCTAGGAATATCGCCGCAATATTTTCTTTCTCCAGAATACCTGTCCAAACATTGGTTTTCTGCGGAAGTGGATCGGATCTTTCGAAAAAGTGTGATTTTTCGTTTTTCTCAGTACCTAACAATGTATTTTTTCTTCAAACGTCAAAATATTAGGCCATTGTTCGACTGAGTAGTAGGCGCCAAAGTTTGACATTATCGTTAGAGCAGTTTTTACCTTTCCTTTTCCTGTCGCCGGAGGGAAAAGTGTTGTTATGGAAACACAACAATTGCATTTATTTATTCAAAAAATTATGATATATTTTCAGACTTATTAATATTAAATGTACAATTGGTAAGTGTTGCATTCTGAAAATTGAAGCCGTGCAACGATGAACTAGACCCTGTTAAAGTATTTACTCTCGATTTAGGCGATGACCTTGGCGAAGACGATGTTATTAGATTTCCTGATGCGCCTATTTCAGTTACCGCAGTTTCGTTTAAATTTAATATTCGGCTAGCATTCTCTTTTTTGTTGCGAATCGACTCTTCTATGTACCCTTCTGCTACGGAAGTCGACCTCCAACCCCCGTGGCACTTCAACGACTCCATACTTCCTCCACCATCGATGAGTAATGTAGCCGAAGTACGCCTTAAACAGTGACCCGTATATTCTTGGACATTGCCTAATTTTAGAAATTCGGCGACTTTTCTGGGTACAGCACTGATCGTATGAATCCCCATCACATTTTTATAGCACTTCCCATTCTTGTATTTCAAAAAAAAACCTCTCTTGCATATCTCTCGGTCTTAATGACGTGTACTTGTGGTAAATATTCATGAACATTTCTCCGATGATGGTAAACGAGCGCACTTTTTTCGTTTTGCTATCGGGAATTTTTATTAGGATTCAATTTTCCAACTCTTCAATGTCGCCTATATTCATTTTCATCATTTCATCACCGGATTTCGACGGTCCGATGCGCGATACTGCTTCATTCGCCTCAACGGCAATTTCGGGCGGCGTGCATTGCATTCTAAAATTAACTAATTTACACTATTTTTTAGTGATTTAATTAACTTACTTCTTTCTTATCGAGAAATTTCAGAATTGGTACCGCAAGAAGTACCCGCAGCGCCTTAAGTCATATGACCTGAGGCGGCAGACGATCGATTTTAGCATACTCTGATAGGACAAAATGGAACTCCATCAGTTAAAATTTTGATCATTCTCGTTCAGTGGATTTCGTGCTAGCTCCCCTACTATCAGGATTGGGGATAGATGGGTGGACGAAGAGGACTTACTTTTGCCTGAAAATGCTACTATGAATGTCAGGAACCAACTTATAGCCCACTACAGAAGGATTAGAGTTTTTTTCCAGGCACTGCGTATACCGAGCGCGATGTAAACCGCAGAAATACTCATGAAATTGTACTAAAATTTAAGTACTTTGGAGGCACCACATTAACTCTGAATAAAAGCAACAGAAGAAAGCTACAAAACCTAATCATGGCTGAGTACTTTCAAAGGACTTCCGACAAATGCTTAAGTAATCACTGGACCGAGATCGATACTAACTGGTCATCATTTTTCAACTGCTGTACATCTGGTTCAATGGCAGAAATTAGCTGGCGGTTTGCGAAAAACAGATTAGCAGATCCGACCTATCTGCTCAAAGCAAACATCAGGGTTACTGAGAACTGCCAGGTTTGCGAAAAGATCACAGCTAACGCTTGGCATATGATAATAGAATTTGGCTTGTTAGCCAAAGAAATTTGGGGCCTTGTTATCGCATGGGCAAGTAACATCTGGCAAGGTAGAAGACTATCACTAGTTGACGCGTTATGTGGAGTAAAAGAGAACAACCGCAGTGATATTTTAATCAATTTTCTGACTAATTCTGCAAAGTTTTATATATATGTTCAATTAATCACCGCCATGAAAAACGACACGCATCCAACGTCCCTTCGGGATGGCTACCTAAAGGGCATTAAAAGCAAAATCTTAATAACTTTCTCGTGGCATAAAGGCATGAATAAAATGGACAGTTTTAAAGATCAGTGGTGCATTGGCGAAGTGCTTTGCAGTGTTAATCGGGGCGGAGAGTTAAAGTGGGGCGGAGTGTGGGATTTGTAAACACGTAAATAGTAACGTTCTGTATGTAGGGAAAAAAAATTTTTAGGTTAGGTTCAACCCCTCGTTGGTTTTATTTGTAGTAGACACAACGTTTTAATAAAATAATAATAATAATAATAATAATAATAATAATAAACATACTTATTCTGTTCTCTCGATTGCAGATACTATGTACACATACTAGACCGAGAGCCCGCGTAGAAAATATGTAAGTTGTACCTATTGGTACCTATTGTCAATGCATATGCAATTCCGTTATCGATTTGGCTTCAGTGAACTCCGTGGAACGTAGTTTACGCATATTTAAAACCCAGCCATACGTTTTAAGAGGAAAATTGGCGTAAAATCTTAACGATGCGCCGACATAGCGCATTTTTGCAAAAATAGCGCCTCGAACTCGGACCAACCCTCGTTTTTCGCAACATGGCCTCGTCCATCACTCTGACGTTTAATTTCTTAAAATGGCTGAACATCCTCATTTTAAGGAAAATACGCCTTTTCGAGTCAGTGAATATTCCCAAACCGAACATAGGGAATTAACATGGGAAAGGGGTTTTTTGTAAATAGTTGTTTCCCATGTTAACTTAGAGGGTTTATAATGACACCAATAGAAAGAAGATTTGTTTCCTCGTCTAATGATATACGAATTAGTTCATTTTCAGGTGTATTCCTTCACCTACCGATTATGGTCCAGTACGGTACAATCGTCACTTGATGGTATACCGTTGTCTTTTCTGCTTGAACAAAAAACTGTATACCCATATAGGATCATAGTGTAAGATACGATATAGGTACCTATGAAACCGTAACCATTTCCAATATTAAAATTTACGTTAAAAATGTCACTATTACCAATGAATTCTTTGATTTTTACTCTAATTTATAAAACATCGGCTCATAGCTGATAGTCGAGGTTATTCGGCCGTTCGGAATAAATTTTCCATCCAGGTGTATTAATTTTTCTATTTACTTGTACATTGTACATTGTAACTTATGTTATAAATGTAGGTATAGGTACCTACTCAAATGATTAACTTTATTTATTCGATTTTTATGATTTCCCTCTTCCCTTATACTATCTATCTTTAAAGTGGCGTTTGTACTAAAATTAAAGATATAACAGTTATTTTTATTGATTTTTCATTTTAGCCTGTTCTGCTCTTGTCAGTAAAAATTTCAGTCGATGTATAATTTTAGTTAGGTAAGATAAATTGCTGTGCAAAGGTTACGACGTTATTGGATATACACACAGAACTAGAGATCTGTCCTTAAAGTGCAGGACAACAGCATATTTATCTTGGTTGGAAAACTAACTGCTTCAATTTAACAACCCTCTACTCACTACTGTTAATATAATGCGCAACACGACAGTTTCGCGCCCTTAAAATTCCAACCCATTTTACTTTAGTTTTTTTAAATAATACGTCAATTCCGGACGTCGCGCTTTTTTCCGACTTCCCCTTGGCGTTGACATATGACATATATTCACTCTTTCTTGCGAGTGATATATAAACTTAATCCAAATGAACCCCCAAATGTTAAAGTAGCTAACGGGTTATTATACTAAAAAATGTTTTAATCGAGGTTTTAATGTACCTAATTACAAAATTTGATTAATTATGATCCAAAGCATCAGGTACATATGAGTGTAGTTAAAATGTGAAATTTTGTGTTGTTATGAGAAGGGTGGATACTCTGACCGTCTGCTTGCATTAGTGTTGATTGGCGCCATCTATATAAAT